CAGATAAAGAGTGAGTGGGAGAGGTAGAGCAAGAGAAATGGAGATAGTGAGGGAAATAGATTAGAGGGAAAGAAATTGAGCACAAGATTGAGAGAGACGCAGCCTCAATGATGCACAGAGATAAAGATCCATTCCTTATCAATTGGCCACTTCCTCTGATTTTAAACCCTGGCAATTTCCCAGTCTCATGAGTACACAAGGACAGAGAAAATCCAAATGAATGATCAGTAATCCTGAAATAGAATTTTATCAAAATGGGCAGGAAAGGACAAGCTATTTCTTCACCTGATCTATAATACAATGATTTCTTAATTCCATTTAGTTTCTCATCCAGTAACATGTTCAACAAGTAATTATAGATCCCAGATACAAGCTGCTTTCACATTTAAAGAGATAACAAGGTGTAGATCTGGATGAACACAGCAGGCCAAGCAGCATCAGAGGAGCAGGAAAGCTGACGTTTCGGGTCTAGACCCTTCTTCACATTTAAAGGGCTAGGTACTAGAGTATCACTTATTTGAGATGACTGCATGCCAACCTGACACATACACTGTAAACCATGTACTGTGAAACCTGTAGCCCAAGGACACAATGGGAACAAAGGTCTAGCACAAACACCTGGAAATAGATTGTATTTATCCAGGTTACAGATTGCAAATATAGAAAAGGAAACAAGATCAGCAAAAAACAAATGATGACAATTCAAATTTCTCATTAGCAATAAGGTTTTAATTTGCTGAATGGGAAATTCTGATTCTTGCCCTGGTGAGCATTGCTCTAAACCCCTCCACTTCAATTTGCCCACCTCAGCCTGGGCCAATACCCAATCAGTGCTGACATCTGGTTATTTAACAGAGGGCAGTCTCACTGCCAATAGGAGGTCCTGTATTGACTGCTTAAGTACAGTTACTGATCCTGGGGATAGTAGGAGGAGAGATTGATTCGACTGAGCCTGTGTTCACTAGAGTTTAGAAGAATGACAGAGGATCTGATAGAATTTTACAAACAGGGCTGCACAGACTGGATGCAAGGAGGAAGTGTCCCCTAAATGGGGAGTCTGGAACTGGGGGTCACAGTCTCAGCATATGGGGTGGACCATTTAGGACCGAGACAGGAAACAGTTCTTCCCACAGAGGGTGGAATTCATGACATCAGAAGGCTACGGGGACCGGGCCATTGAATATATTCAAGAAAGAGGTTGATACCATTTTAGATTTTAAAGACAGCAATGGGTATGGAGAGAAAGTGGGAATATGGCGTTTGAGCTAGAAGAACAGCCATGACCATACTAAATAACAGAACAGGCTCAAAGGGCCAGATGGTCTATTCCTGCTCCTTGTTTCACTTGAAAGTCTGAAGCATTGTGTTAGAAAAGATTTTCACCCCCAAGACTGAGCTGGATTTGAACCAAACCAGATAATGATCATTCGCCAATCACAAACACAGTGTTCAGAATCTGTGGAATGCTGTGGCCCATTGCCTCAAGCTCAGCAAAAGGCACGTGTCAGGAGCGCAGCTTTTAACTGGAGAACTGTGATATATTCAGCACATCTGGTTGGGAGTCACATAAAAAAAAAGTGCTTGATACCAGACTGACATCATTTGGACAATGGATAATTCTGCCCAGGGAGAAAATCTGACTGTCCACATCCTACCCGGGTATATGTAATGTTATGATCCCCATACAGACAGATAGTGTTTTTTTTTAAATGAATTGCCAATTAATCACTGAACGATTAACATGACAAATTTCACTTTATAAGACTTTCATCTCGACACTAAGCGTAAATCACAATTTATTTACAACCTGACATTCTCAATCCTTCTCTGGGATTTTGGAAGCTCAGAGTCTCTCCACTGATTCCACATAAATTGCTGCTACTATATCCAAGCTTAATCACTTTATATCTTCTTTCCCTTTTTGAAAATCCCCCTACACTCTTGGGCACTGGTAACTGCTTCCAGCCCTACAACCCTCAGAATTCTCGACTCTTCCCCTCTCGCATCCTGCACATCAATTTGCTTCGTCCCTCCATGTCACACCCCTGCCTTTAGCTGCCTGGGCCTTAAACTTTAGAATTCCTTCCCCTTCTTGTGCTAATATCTCCTTATGCAGCTGGGTATCAAATTCTGTTTGGTAATAAATCTGTCGGTGGAATGGTGGCTCAGTGGTTAGCGCTGCTGCATCACAGCAGCAGGGACCCAGGCTCGATTCTAGCCTCGGGTGACTGTCTGTGTGGAGTTTGCACGTTCTCCCCATGTCTGTGCGGGTTTCCTCCGGGTGATCTGGTTTCCACTCACAGTCCAAAGATGTGCAGGTTATGTGGATTGGCCGTGCTCAATTGCCTGTAGTGTCCAGGGATGTGTAGGTTTGGTGGATTAGCCATGGGAAAGTGAGAGGGTCAATGTGGACTTGATGGGCCAAATGGCCTGCTTTCACACTGTAGGGATGCTATGAAACATCTTGAGACATTTTTGTCCACATTAGCGGTGCTATATAAATGCTAACATGCTAGAAGTTGGGCTTGGAGTAAAAGAGACCAAGTCTTACGTTATTGGGATAGGGTTAGAGATTCCAGGTTCACCAGCCTCCAGTGATGCTAACACTACCTTGTAAGGCAGGGAGAAGTATCATTTGGACAGGTTGGGGAGTTATATAAATCTCGGTGTGAATGTGAACTGGTGAAAGCAGGCTAAACGCTGCCACAACTGTTGGAACATGCATAAACACAGAGGGTGGAGCTCCAATTCAGAACCTGATAGATGGTGTGAAAGAAAGCTTAGTGATGGTCTATTCCTGCCCAAAAGATGACAGTTACTAATCAACCAATTGGCGGTAGAAAAGATGAAGCCAATCGGCACTTAGTCTAAAGAGCTAATCGAGTGTCTAATCACTAAGTAGCATCCAGGAAGGTGCTCCTCTGTGGGCACGTACCAGAATGAAAAACACAGCTGGAGAAATGATCATTGCATTCTGTCCTGAGCTTGACTGGGATCTGCTGACCAGCATTCTGGGAGAAATAAGTCTGGCTACTGGATTAAATATTACAGTGCTTTCTTTTGCATTTTCCTTGACGCAAACTGGTCCAACCAATGGTCTGTAGTTCCAGTGGGTACCATAGCAGACAGGGGAACAGTCCTGGGATTTTCTTAGTCTATATAACTTGTGGTATGGATCCTTCATCAGGGCAGCTCAACAATGTCACATCCCCCAACAAAACAGGAGCCACTCAAAAAGTCACTGTTATTTATTGCTGTACAAAATACTTCTAATAATATAGCTACAGTACATCAATAATCTGTTACTGTAAAATAATTCTAAAGAGTCGCTGTACAATTACACTTGGGAGCATGTGATAACGTCTAGTTGTCATATATTAAAGCTACATCATACTATCAGAAATACGTCCCCGAACTTCGCTTCATGAGGAGTGTTAACTTCACCTTCCAAAGCAGACCTGTGCATAGCAACACCCTCAAGGAGCTTTCTGCTGTCGAACACCGTCAGCTCTCACTCTGGTTGCGCTCGGCTCTCCCCCAGTGTCACTTGGGATCAAAATGTGTCAGGCATGAATCACGCGATCGGCGTGTGGCATCAGTGCCTGGAACCTCGCCCTCTTCAGCGATGACGTCCTGTGACTCATGTGCCTGGTTCTGCATCTTCTGGTGATCTCCAACGAGTTGCTAACTTTATCGTGGGTTGCACTGACACACGTTTCAGTCTGTGGGCAACCCAACTGAAATGCCTTCTGGTGATTTCCCCATTACCTGCATGATACTTAAGTGTTGAGAATGGTCCAGGGTGCCCCAAGTTGGCAAATCAGAGTGGTGCACCATCTTTTAATGGAATGCCTGACTCAACCCTTCTCTGTCAAGTTATCCCAGATTCTAGGTGGCTACAGAGAGGTGAGGGGGTGGGTCAGGAAGATTCAAGACGGACAGTGCCTCTCTGGTTCCTTGTGATTATTTGCTCTCGCAAAGTGAAAGGGAAGATTTCAGATCGATAGCTTGTTGTAATTCTTGTTTGTAAAGGAATGCAAGGTCCCAAAGGTGAGAGGAACAGTCAAACGCAGAGCTAGGGTGGGGGTGTGGGGAAGGATGGGGTTAGTTGGATTGTGGAGAGATTGAAGAAAAGAAAAATTAATGCAGTACTAATTTTTTCCCTCCAGGTGGCTCTAGAAAGGCTTGTAAACAATATGGAGTACAGTACTTGTTGTAATGGTTGGAGGTGACCAGGCATTCAAATTAGTACTGGACCAATTTTTAATTTGAATATTATTCACAAGTCCCTTAACTGTATCAGGTCATGCCTCTTACCTCAGTCCGGATGCTGTTTGTATTATTTAACTGCTTATGACTGGCATATAACCAAGACTTCAGAATCTGAAAATCTTTAGATGGCTGTTGCCCCAATGGCCTCTTCACAGACCCTCACTCATAATATTCAAAGATCTAAGCACCCACCTTAATTAACTATTTCACCTTGTCTTACTAAGACCCGGATCGTCATTGGGACTGGGTTGGTACACACTTTGTTTCCAGCGTGGATCAGCTGTCAGGAGAATAGGAACACTGGCCATTTTGGAAGGTAGAGGTAGTGGAGGGCAATGGGGGAGGGTCCAATTCACTGACAGAGACTCACAAAAGGTCCCAGGAGTGGGGTCTGTGCAGATTTTAGGAGCTGTTGGAGGTCGGGTTGGGGCTGTGAAGTAATGGGAATGAACACATCATCTTCCAATACAACGGAGAGAGAAAGAAGAAGAGGCAGAGCGGTATTCCAGTCACAAGACGAAGTAACATGTGGTATGTGGTGTACTGTGCATTTTTTTTTCACGTTTTGCAGTGTTGCTTGTTCGTATTGACTGGGAATGGTGATGAACCTCAACCCCTTCCTCCCAATCCCTCCGCACTTGCACTTCCCCCCCACCCAACTGAAAAAAGGGACTGTGTATTTTGTGTTATTCCCTGCAGGATTGTGGCCCTGAAGGTCACCAGTGGCGTTATGCCCTGTTCTTACAGGATCTGCAGCAGGCCTTCCTGTAGTACCAGTGTGTGCACAGTTTCACCTTCAACACCAACGCACAGTTGGCCGTCACTTTGTCCTGACAGTTGTCATCTGCAAGGCAAATGAACAAGAGGAGATTTACCACGGAGAACGAGATGCCATTTCACCACCTCCCTTGCACGTACATCCCGTCCTGAAAATCCCACACTGAGTGTTGCCAACTTTGGGTAGACCATTTCCACCAAGCTTTCCCACCTGTGACCTGTGACCTCCTAACTGTCCGCCCCAAAACTCTTGCCATTGGTCACCCACCATCTCCATCCCTGTGGCATAAGACCTCACACTCAACGGGAAAGTTATCGAGCCCTTTGTTATCTAATTGGATAATTCTTCACTGTCAGTCAAATCATGTAGCTCGCCCACCTCCAATACCTCAGTAATTAGCAAATTAAAGCCTTCATTAAACATTTTGGTGACAGCACACTGCCTTATTGCACTCCTTTCTTCACTGGAAAAACATCTGATTGTATCTCTTCATACTGGTGTTGCTGTTTGGTCCCAATACAGCCTCTTTCTCACCGGAATGATTAAAAAATTGAATTGGATTTAATCCCAGGGGTATACTCGATTGGCAATTTAAACCCAGGGGGGTATTGGATTGGGCAAGTAATCCCCAGAGCAGGTAATTCGACTGGTGATTAATCGGGGAAAGGTAGATTGGGAATTTGTCAAGGAGAGTGATAGTGTATTGTGGATTTGTCTCGTTGAGGGGTTACTAGATTGGTGGTTTAATCCTGGGGATTATTGGATTGGCGATTTAATTGTTGGTGGGTATTGGACTGGGAATTTAATCCTGTGGGGTACTGTGTTGGGGGTGTAATTGTTTAGAGGTGGGGTATATTTTGGCCATCCTTACCTGGTGCGTCTGTGGGACAGAGCTGAACCTCACACGTCTCTTTTGCCTCCGGCTTTGTGGATGGATCGCAGCCTTGTCCAACTTCATCTCCCTGGTAACATTTCACTTCACGAACTCGGACTCCACTGCCACAGGTTTTACTGCACTGTGCCAGATAAAGACAGCAGTTAGTTGTTGAGTCAGCTCCAAATACACGTCGCTGAATGCAAGTGTGTGGCCAAGTGACAAAGATCCATCACAAACAGAAAGTGTTTTGGTTGTCAAATTGGATTCGAATGCCCAGGAACAGACCATTTTCTCAGTGGCTGCAGGAAGCATTCACTGCTCAAACTTAAAACAATTTCATTCCACCCAGGTCCACAAGCACTTCTGTTCTTGTGTTTGGCCAATGCAGAGCACAACTCTCCTCCAACAACCCAATCAGGCCCTCCAACATCAGGTACAGAATAGGTTAGATGTAAAGTTACTGTCCTATGCATTGCCCCAACAAGTAGCTACAGGTGAGATATAGAATACAATGAATGTGGGATTCAGCCACTTCTACATTCTCTCAGACAGGCACAGAATAAGCTGCATGCATTATACAAGTACCTTCATCATGTGCTCAAAGCAACACGTCTACAGTATCTCGGGTTGTGGCTGTCTGCACATCCACTGTCCCCTCCCCACATCTTTAAGTAATGTGCTTCAACATCTTGACTACTGTAACGCTATTTCGTTTACATCTGGCCATAGCAGGTTCTCAAATACCTTTCACTTCTCTAGTGCAGTGTCTAACACCTCTCTCTTCACACGCTCATTCTAGACTGATGTCTTCTCTCTTAGCGATGTCATGTGATCAGTTACAGCATCATGATTTCTGTGAATCTCACCATACTACATGACCAAGCTGACAGATTAATGTGCATTGTATCCCTCATGTCACTTTCCTACTCTTTCCCTGAAACCATTAATTCACATTGGGGCAGAGAGGGACTGATTCGCAATTGTAAAGTCACTGACCTATTGGTTAAGAGCTACAGTTTACAGCAACTGATGAGGGGAGGATAAACCAGTTTTCTTCAGGCTTCAGTGTCTTTATTGCAGAGCAGAAACACAGCTCTTCCCTTCCTGGAAATCCGACGGCTTCTCACCCAAACATTCACACCCAGCTGCCCGGGAGCCAATCACATTGTTGTTGGTGGGCAGAAGGCCTTTGTCGTTATAACAGGTCATCATCCCGCAGACCATTCAGCTACTTGTTGCTGGCTGAATCACCATTCATGCACAAAGCCTGGCTCCAGCTTGTTTGCTACTACTCTTGGAACAAGCTACAGTGTAAACAGCACTCACAATGAGGTCAGGTAATTGCTTTTGAAAAGTGCTATAAACCTTGGTTTCTAAAAGAATCCTTTTCCCATGTCAGTCCACAATCAAAAATACAAAGAAAGAAAAAGGTACAGTTTTACATGGTACTGTTTACCTCCTTTGAGGAAGGATATAAATGCTTTGGAAGCAGTACAGAGAAGGTTCAGCAGATTATTACCTGGAATTTGGGTACATTGTCTTATGAGAAATAGTTAGACGATCTAGGTTTGTATCCATTAGAGTCTAAAAGAGTAAGAGATGACTTGACTGAAACATATAAGATCCTGAGGGACTTTGTCAGATTGGACATGGAGAGAATGTCCCCTCTAATGGGAGAGAGTGTACTGTTTAAAAACTAGTGTCTTCCCATTGAAGAGGGAAGGGAGGCAACTTTTTTTCCTTCAGAGGGTCATGAGTTTTTGGATGTTTTTCCTGAAAAGGTGGTAGAATCAGTCTCTGAATATATTTAAGGCAGAGGTAGATAGCCTTTTGTTAAGCAAGGGGTTGACAGGTTATCAAGGGCAAGTGGGAACAGGAGGAGGAGGTTATAATCAGATCACCCATGATTTTATTGGATGGCAGGGCAGGCTTGAAGGGCGAAACGGCCTACTCCTGTGCATTATGTTATACGACATGATTCAGAAAACGGTATGGGTTAACCTCGTTTCCTCTCCACAAGCAGTGAAACTGTTTGTAGGGTTGGCAGGAGACTGGGACTGTGGCAATAACTGCTCCAGGTTAAGCTCTGTGAAAGGAGTATGCGATCAACACTGCCGCTCAGGACGTTCTTTTTAACACAGCAAAGGTATGCAGCCTAAGCTGGGATCCTGCTTCCTAGAGCACTCCGGTGGGACAGGGTCCGCTGGGCAGAGGTAGGTAACAGGTAACCAGCAGACACCCATCACACATGCCCTGACCATTGCACAGACCAGTCCCAGCTCCATGAGAACAAGGATCCATCATTTTGTTCTTCTTGTTTTTGCACCTACCTACTGACGGAACATTGCCAAGATTGGGAACAGCAGCTTCATATCTTCAAACTGCCGGGTACCAGGGCAGCACAGTGGCTCAGTGGTTAGCACTGCCGCCTCACAGCGCCAGTGACCCAGGTTCGATTCCACCCTCGGGCGACTGTCTGGGTGAAGTTTGCGCATTCTCCCCGTGTCCGTGTGGATTTCCTCCGGGTGCTCCGGTTTCCTCCCACACTCCAAAGACGTGCAGGCTAGGGTGGATTGGCCATGCTAAATTGCCCGTAGTGTTCAGGGATGTGTAGATTAAGTGCGTTAGCCACGAGAAATGCCGGGTAACAGGAAAAGGGTAGAGGGATGGGTCTGGGTGTGATGCTCTTCAGACGGTCGGTGTGGACTTGTCGGGCCGAATGGCCTGTTTCCACACTGTAGGGATTCTATTCTGTGACCAGCTGGTGCTTATGGGTCTGAAAGAGTTAACACTGAGGAGTGCCACAAGCGCCACCCAATATGATGATCTCCTATGGACTTGTGGGCAGAACAGCTCTGGATCTCGTAGGAGAGAGGCCTAACATCAATCCTCCTCCGAGTCTCTGTGACAATATATATCTTAACACTGTAATCTGTAAGTAGATGTTAACGTGCAATAAACTATAATCTCGCGAACTATAATGGCCTCTCCTAGTTAGACCAGGGATTGGCTTCCCTCAACTGCACTGGACCGAGCCGATGCTGTAGTTTCCGACACTGAGAGAGGGGACAGTGACAGCAATCTTCAGTGTGAGCAGTAGCTCATACTGTGTAGTGAGCTGATCTGCCAAGATAACTGCACCCAGTTCCAACGGAGCACCGGCAGTAGCGCAGCAAGGGAAAAAAAGAAGAAGGGTAGAGAGGCCAAACGGAGGAAACGGATGTGGGAAAAGGGTAGGGAATTACAGGGACAAACAGAGTTATTTGCATTGGCTGCAGTACAGATTGGGCAAGCTTACACTGCCCACAGGTGAATCGGTAAGACCCAGCTGTTGACCAAGCGAGTGAGTTTGGCTTACCTGGGACCAAGATGTTTTAAACCACTTTGAGCAGGGTCTCTCGAAACAGGCCGCCTCCTCGTCAGGCTTCTTGGAGTGACCACATCGGCTCTCCTCGTACTCCTTATAGACTCCATTTTCCAAGCCGGCACATAGAATCTTCCGGGTCTTCCTGCCCCGGCCACACGTGGCATTGCACTAAAGCAGGACCACAACAACCAGTTACTACACAGCCGGCCCATGCCAACGCCCTACACCAGGGGAAGGTCAAGAGCTATCAGCCAGACAGTAAACAAACTCTTAGTCACCCTCCAGCCCCTATAGACTTCTCACTAACGCACCCCCATCCCCGAAATTCTCAACTCCCTGTATAGATACTGGCGCCCACCGCATTGACAGCTGCAGGCCAAAGCCCCCAGAATGCAGCAGAACGTCAGGAATTTGGCAAATAAAACAGTGAGTTCTAAAGATAACACAGGATCTGACTCAAGATAAGCCAAGTGACTTTTCTCTGGGAAGTCAATTCTAATACAAGGCCGGACTCCAAGCCTGCCTTTCTCAGGAGTTCGGTCCAGCCCCATCCTCTGAAAGATGTAGGAGCCCATTTTCCCCTCTGGCAGCCCCTCACCCACTCTCAGCACCTTACCCCACCCAATCCCTCACCCCACCCAATCTCTCACCCCACCCAACCTCTCACCCGCTCCCAACCTCTCACCCGCTCCCAACTCCTCACCCCTTCCAACTTCTCACACGTTCCCAGCCTCTCACCCGCTCCCAGCCTCTTACCCCTCCTAAACTCTCACCCGCTCCCAATTTCCTACCCCTCCCAACCTCTCACCTGCTCCCAGGCCCTCACCACACCCAACCTCTCACCCGCTCCCAGCCCCTCACTCTCCTAAACTCTCACTCACTCCCTCCCAGCCCCTCACCCCTCCTAAACTCTCACCCGCTCCCAACTTCTTACCCCTCCCAACCTGTCACCCGCTCCCAGCCCCTCACCCGCTCCCAGCCCTCACCCACTCCCAACCTCTCACCCCTTCTAAATTCTCACCCGCTCCCAACATCTTACCCCTCCCAACCTCTCACCTGCTCCCAGCCCCTCACCCTTCCCAAACTCTCACTCACTCCCAGCCCCTCACCCTTCCTAAACTCTCACCCGCTCCCAACTTCTTACCCTTCCAAACCTCTCACCTGCTCCCAACTCCTCACCCTTCCCACACTCTCACCCGTTCCCAGCCCCTCACCCACTCCCAACTCCTCATCCCCTCCCATCCCCTTGGCCCCCTCCTGGTCTGTCCTGCAGTGTGAGAGAGGGCAGCAGCAGAGATGGCAGTAGATTTAGTGCTGGTGACGGGATCTGTCCACCGATTGGAGAACCATTGCAGACCCCAACGCCCCTCCCCCTTTAAGTATTTAACTGGCCAGTGATGGACCTTCCCTGTGATTTTAGACGGAGGGCAGAGATCAGAGAGGCTGACAGCTGCCAGTTAGGTTGAGGTTGGCAGGTCTCCGTTGCTGGATTACCCCCTGGGAGTGGTAGTCGCTGCTGGTAACTCTCCAAGCACTTTGCCAGATATCCCCCGACACCGGTGAATGAGGATGGGGTGAGGGTTGTGGAGAGGGGCCATTACAATGGGGAGCAGGGCAGGATCAGTGCCAAGGGCAGGCAAGTATGTGCCCAACTTTTCAATGCCAGGCCCCTCGATGGGGCACTGAGAACGGATCCCCACATAAATGTAAGTGGGCCCAGCTGCTATGATTCCCGCTGTGATGGGCTGGATTCTCCTCAATCCTGGAATGTTAGAGAGACTGCACGTGACAGTCCCAGAGGCTGAGAGCCGAGGGAGAGAAAGAGAGACACAGAAAGAGAATGCCAAAGCGGGCACTGTATTTTCTTCCTCTCAGCACAAGGAACCCTTGTGTATTTACGTAATAACGACGAAGTTTCAAGTGCTCTCTTGTTCACCTCCTTTTTAAGCATCAGCCTTAAGGTTTTGCTGAGATCGGCAGTCAGTTCTGTTTATTCAGTTTCTCCATGTTATTCCCACAGCATGCGTACCAGTCCCTAGTGTACCTGCTCCCACTCCTGTGACACCCAGTGAGGGGGACAGTCTCTATCTCCACAGGGGTGCACCGCCAGGGGCTTTGTCGTCAGGTCGCACTGCGAGTCAGGCAGGACCTTCCCTTCGTTATTCCTGCAAACCACGTAGCGTGTCATGCGGCCCTCTCCACAGACTCCCGAGCACTGTATCGAGAAAGGGAAAATACGTGGCTTAGAAACCAAGCTGAACAAATATTTCACCGTCAACTGTAACGACTCAGCAAGGCTTTTTGAACATCACTCCCTTGACCAAAACGTCAACTTTCCCGCTCCTCTGATGCTGCCCGCCTGCTGTGTTTCTCCAGCCCCACACCGTATTGTCTCTGACTCCAGCATCGGCAGTTCTTACTATCTCTGAGGAGAACAAGGAAAGATGGGATTGCCTATGGTGCTACTGTCTCAACTTGGAAATATTTCACAACATCCTCCACGCTCAAGGGCAAACGCTGATGAGCAATTGACTGTGGTCTGGGTCCGTGACACAAATATACCAAGAATGAATATTGAATAAATTTAGTTTATGTACAATTAATGGACCCTGAGCTAAAGAAAGGGGAGAGATGGCCAGAAGGTTATGAGTCTGAAGGAGGAGAGGGAGGGTGAACAGTCTGCATATGGAAGTAAAACATGACCGCCAATGGTAGGGGTGTACAGCTGGGGAAAGGGACAATAGGCTGGAGTCCGTAAGAGATAGGAAGGAACTTTGAAGCTGGAGGAAGTTGCAAATATAAAGGGAAAAAAGGCCATTGAGGTATTTAGAGATGACACGTTGAGGGTGTGAGATTTTAGTGTAGACCGGGAAGGAGTTATTATGGGAAAGGACATGAGCAGTAGGGCTTTTTGAGGACCTGACGTTGATGGCGAGTGGGTGACGGGAGATCATCCAGGAGAGAACTGGATTCTCTGTACCTGAAGGTGACAACGACACCAAGTGAGAGGAAGGATATCAGCAGCTGATGAGGTCAGAGTAAGAGGTAGGTGGTGTTCGAAATAAAGTGAGTAGTGTTTTTGTGATAGGTAGCTGTTACAGGATCACCCCAAGATGGTGCCAGGGAGGGGATGGAGTTGGGAATAAAGAATAAAAACAGTGAATTTGTATGGAAGGAGGTGTAGCTGATTGTTTACATCAGGCTAATTCCCAAAGATACAATGACCATCATGACAAGCAGACAAACCATTTCCAATACACTTGAGAAAGGAATTGAGCGATATCAACTATGGAGCTCTTTTCTCAACAGTCATGAAACATTTAAAAAGATCAGTCAAGAGCAAGAATATCAGAGAAAAATCACTGTTAGGATCCAACATAAATAGACATTGACAGTTGTCCCCTTTCTGAACAAGGATCCAAAATATAAAATCTGGCCCATTTCTGAAGAAGGGTCCTGACCCAAAACGTTAGCTTTCCTGCTCCTCTGATGCTGCCTGGCCTGCTGTGTTCCTCCAGCTTCACACTGTGTTATCTCTGACTCCAGCATCTGCAGTTCTTACTATCTCCAAAATATAATGTTGGATCAATGTTGGTAAAACGAGAGCAAGCTTTTCCGGTCAGATTTTTATTTCTGCTCGCACACCATCAAATCTAATGCCACTGATTACTATGATAGCAAATAATCGCAGTCAGATTCTGAAATGATTATCCACAATGCATAGATAACTATCACTCGTCCCCATGCTCCTACTGGCCTCAGGGATTTCTGTCATATCCTACTCAAAAATAACAATATTATCACTATATTAACATCAACATGGGATGACAGCACCCCCAAGTGTTAATGTCATCGTGGAATGAGTGTGTGCTTGTATTACTGTCAGTGTGTGGTGTGTCTGTCCCTGTGTCATTGTCAGTGTGGGGAGGGTATGTCCGTCTGTGTGTTAATGTCAGTGTGGGGGTCATTGTGTCATGGTGTATTAATGTCAGCGTGGGGTCAGTGTATCCGTGTGTATTAACGTCAGTGTAGGGTCAGTGTACCCTTATGTTAATGTCAATGCAAGATGAGTGTGAGTGTTTTGATCAGCATTGGGCCAGTCATGTCAGTGGATGTGTGTGTGTGTGTGTGTGTGTGTGTGTGTGTGTGTGTGTGTGTGTGGTCAGTATGTCAGTGCATGTGTGTGTCTACATGGGGATAATGTCATTCTGTGTAAATTATGTCCTTGCATTATTGCCAGTGTGGAGTTGCAGTGTTTGTGTGACCCTGTCTGTAAGCGGTGACGGAATATGTATTAACTGGTTTGTAATTATCTTCTATATTGTGGAGTGTTAATACAGACAGACGGCTGTCCACCAGGTTCATTGGGATCCATTAGATCAGAAGCATGCTGGCAGCCCTTACTGGTCCCCAGTCTGATGCAGTCCAGCGACGGTCACAAGGTGGCCCCATGCACTCCTTCTTGTTGGTTGGTTTGGTGTACTCATCGCACAAGCGAGGATCTACTGAGCATCGAACTTCACGTCTCATGCTGCCCCTGGTGCCGCACCGCGCAGAACACTGAAGGGAGAAAAACCGTTACTATGACGGGCTACTTTCTGAGATCATTTCCAATTGCCAGTAACTTAACATTGCTAAACCTTTTCAGGACTCAGTACTGAATAAAGATAAATACACTTCAACTCAGTATTGCATTTAGAACATAAAAACAAGAGCAATAATCCCAATTCCTCAATTTACTTGTCTGATGGACTTGGGTTAACAGAAAATACTGATCAGGTTCTTGTACTTATAAAAGAACAATGTATTATAAATAAATACTAACCACAGGCAAAACTAGCCTGTTGATTATCCCGTTTTAATTCTACTGGTTGAAACTCTATTCCTCTTTTAAAACACTTGCACACCAACACAGATAGACATAAGCCAACACTGAAAAACTAGTGGTGGGATAAAAAGCTGGGGAAACATAGTTCAATGGCACCAGTCCAGAGGATTTAATGAGGTGTTCCTTTTTCTTTTCAGGACCTTCTGTTCTCTGAGCCCCTTCTCAGGAGGCACAGAGCAATGGGTACACTATAATTGTAAAGTCTTTGAGTCACTGGTTGAAGACATGAGGTTACAGCACCAGTGGGAGAAAGCAATCTTTTTCTAGGCTTTGGTTACTTTGCTGCAGCGATAGAGACACGGCACATGCTCCTTCAGCAACCCAGCGACTTGTCCCCCTCCATCAGAAACACTCACGTTGTTTACGTTCCCGAGGGCCAATCAGAGAGCTGTTGGCATGGTGATGACTGCTGGCACATTTGCACAAACGAATCAACTACCTGTCGCTGGGCAAACCTCACTCTGAAAAAAACCTCCTGATGCTGAGGCATATTACCTCTCCTCCTTCACTGCTTGTAGAAAGCAGCAGTGTAAACACAACTCCCAATGAGTTCCAGTAACTTATTTTTAAAAGTGCAGTAACTCCTTCCACAGTCCTTGGTTTTAAAACAGTCATTTTCCCATTCCAGCCCACAATCAAATCTGAAGAAAAATAAAAATGTGAAGTCTTTACACATTCCAGTTGCTCTTTATCACAGTCCATGAGCCGTCAGTGGTTTATGGTCCAAGCACCTAAATCCCTTTCCCCCTCCGCAGTCTTTCACCATTGAGAAAATACAGATCAGCACTGTGATATAATCCTCATCAAAAACGAGATTCCCACACACTGTTTTGCTTCTTGTATTCCTGCTCTAATGTCTCATGCAGTGCTACCATTTGCAGTCTCAGACAGGGCAGGTTGAGCATGGACATGTTGTGAAGAATCTCCTGGTTAACAATATCACGAACCAAAGGATAGTCTGTGGCTACAATCTTGAGGGAGAGGGACTCTCTGTGCGGCTCTCTCTGTTTTCCTGGCTGGTGGTTCATGCGACAGCGTTAGGGAATCTTCACAAAGGAATAAAGGTCACTGAAACTGGAAAAAGCAGTCTCTCTCAAACGTTGCGCAGAAAAATACATCGCCTTCAACCCCTTGCCCCCAATACTCATCCCCCACTCTGATCTCAGCACCTTTTTCCAGCCCACCCCACAGAAGACTCATTCTCCTGACTCGACTACCCATCCACTCAAACTCCTTCTGACACAACTACCAACCCCTTCCAACCACCCAACCCCAAATATCCATACCCTCCCCACAGCCAACTACTCATCGCCTCCCAAACACAAACATCCACACCCCACAAAGCCAACTATCCATCTCTCCAATCACAACCACCCATCCCTCAACTACCCATTCCTGCCCTCCCTACAAGCTGACTATCCATCCTCCCAACCCCATCCTTCCACCCCAATGAACCAACCCAAAGGCCCATTCCTCCCCAACCCAACTATCCACCCTTGACCCAACTACCTATCATCCCCCTTGTCTACCTGATCTAAGCCCATGATCATTTTGTACATCTCAATTAAAAGTCCCCTGAACCTACTTTTTTCCAAGGTGAACAATCCCAGCTTCTCCAAGCTTACTTTGTAACTAAATTTCCTCATCCCCGGAACCATTCCGCTAAATCTTCGCCAGACAATCAAGGATTCTCAATTCCTTCCTAAACTGTTGCAAGCAAAATTAGACGTAATACTCCAGTTGATCACTTTAGAAAGCTGCGGCATAACTTCTGCTTTTTTACTCAATGTTTCTACTTAAGGAGCTCAAAATTCTTTAGTCTACTCTTTCATGTATGCCCCGCCACTTACAAACGTCAATGCACTTGACCCGCCGCCACCCAGGATCCCTCTGTTCCAACAAACTCTTTACATCTGAGCCATTCTATCTATGTTGTTAAATAATGGATGGGCCGTATATGTCAATTTTGTCATTGGTGCCTTTGTTCAAGATATAATATTTAATACTTCTATCGAGCTACAATTTCTTTAACAAAGCAGTGGAGAGTTGCAAATATTTGAAGTATAAAATGTTCCTCAGTTACTCTCAATGAAGAGGATGAATATTCAGACAGCTTCACTTGTATGACCATGTAGGTTGGAGAAAGGGATAAAGATGCACTGAAACAAAGTTGCGTTACCTCCGACCATTCTGACACTTCCCACTGTGGCCCACATCCCTTGTTTTTGCAGACTTTGCGCTCCACGGGCCTGGTTAGCTCAGCTGCTTCGCACAATTCATCGTAAACGGAGCTGTCGAAACCCGGAGCAATCATTTTCCAGCACCGCACTGTCCTGAACTGATATCCTTCCCCACAGGTCCGGGAACATTCGCTCCATCTGCTGGTCTCCCATCTGCAAGGCATCCAGGGAAAAAGAAACATCTGGGGTGACAGCAATGCTGGGAAAGGAGAGCACTCTGAAGCTATGGCACACATCAGCAGTAATACTAACTGAATGGTAGAATAATTGAGAGGCTGAACGGCTACCTCAAATTCAAATGCATCAAATGGCTCTTTGACCCACCGAAGTTCACTTCTCAAATCCCTCAATTTTTGTTGCATTTGTGTAATTCGTTCAAGGGATGTGGGAGTAAATGGCGAGGTCAGAATTTGTTGCCTATCCCTAACAGTTAAGGGTTAACCATATTGCTGTGGGTCTGCAATGGCATGTAGGCCAGACCGGGTAAGGACAGAAGATGTAGGCTTACTTGAGAAAGGATGTACTGGGGGTGCAGAGGAGGTTCACTAGGTTGATTCCGAAGTTGAGAGGGTTGGCTTTTGAGGAGAGGTTGAGTAGACTGGGACTATACTCATTGGAATTTAGAAGAATGAGAGGGGAATCTAATAGAAACAAATAAAATTGGGAAAGGAACATAAGATAGAAGCAGGGAGGTTGTTTCCACTGGCGGGTGAAACTAGACCTAGGGGACATAGCCTCAAAATAAGAGGGAGCAGATTTCGGACTGAGCTGAGGAGGATCTTCTTCAACCAAAGGGTTGTGAATCTGTGGAATTCCCTGCCCAGTGAAGCAGTTGAGGCTACCTTGTTGAATGTTTTTAAGGCAAAGATAGATTTTTGAACAGGAAAGGAATTAAGGGTTATGGTGAGTGGGTGGGTAAGTGGAGCTGAGTCCACGAATAAGATCAGCCATGATCTTATCGAATGGTGGAGCAGGCTCGAGGGGCCGGATGGCCTACTCCTGCTCATGGTTCTTATGTTCTTATGTCTTTCTGTAAAGGGCATTGGTGAACCAGACAGGTTTTACAACAATCATCAATAGTTACATGGGCACCATTAAATTAGCTTTTTATTCACTGAATTCAAGCTTCAGTAAACTAATTCAAATATTACACAACAAAAACAAAGTTGCTGGAAAAGCTCAGCAGGTCTGGCAGCATCTGTGAAGGAGAAAACAGAGTTAACGTTTCGGGTCCGGTCACCCTTCCTCAGAATACCTTCAATTCAAATATTAGCCCTGGGTTCTGGATTACTGGTTCAGTGACATTACCACAATGGCACCACTGTCCTTAAATCTTCCTCAAGGAATTCAATATAAGCTGGGAAAGTACCAATAGGGTTTAATTTCATTGTTCCTAATATTGATAGTCTGGATTTCAAAATTCTCATCTTTGGTTTTCAAATTTCTCCATGGTCTTGTCTTTCTCCATTTCGGTAATCTCCTGACCAACCCCACAACATTCTGGCCTCTTGTGCATTCCAAATTATAACTGCTCCAACCCTGGTGTTTAATTGCCCAAGGGTCATAAACTCCCTCCTTATACCTCTCTATCTCTCCCCCTTGCTTTACACATTGAATGCACTTTGTAAAACCCACCTCCGTGACGAAGCCTTTAGACACCTGACCTAAAATGTGGCTTGGTGTCAAACCTTGTTTTAAAATTTCTGAGTCAGCTCAACATGCCAAAGGTACTACACAAATGTAAACTGGTGTTACCTTTTAGAAGATTAGTTCCTCATTAAAATCAGTTTTAAATTTATTCGTCTAATTTCCATCAACCATCTTTACTATTTTTTTGTTAATTTAGTTCCATCTAGATTTACCTCCTCTATCTAAATAGAGGGGGCAAGGCAATGAGAAACCACCTTAGCCCAACCTGCAGGGTGGAACCTGATCAGGTGGACAGTTAGAAGGCAATGCTGTTTTACTGCAGGTGAGGACAGTGAAAACAGGATGCTGAATTGGATGAAATAAAGCTCCAGGCGTGAAATAACCTTACAGAGGCCACTATCCTCACGGAACACATGGAAAGTCCTTGACACTGTTCCGATTTCTTCAGAGCCAGCTCTCAGAGCGAACAGAACCTCTGACGCTCCTGTTCCTATCTGTCAGCCAGGGCTCCCTGACTGGGGCTGTGAATCTGAGCCAATCAGGGAACTCATGTTCCATGAGGTCCACCTGACTGACCTCATCACAATTACTACACAGGTGGAACACCAGAAACCTGCTCCCTGCCACTTACCTTCCTGCAGACCTTCTGTGTCAGCAACGCCCCCTGCTACCCAGATCAGTGCCAGTCAGCTGCCATTTGCAGCTGGCGTTCATCTCGCAACCCCAACACACCACTCACAAGACTGTTGCTTGCAGCTCAAATCCCCCGCCACCCGCCCCGATTTCTGCTATCTCACATGGATCTTCAAGAATATAGTCAGGACTGGATTGAGAAAAGGTCCCAGTGCCTCACCAGTTTGTTCCTTCCACAGACAGAACCCATCACCCATCATCATTTAACTGGGTACTCTAACTTCACTCAAAGCTTGTTGACTTGAAACACCCTCACACAGTGCAGCCACACGGACTAGGGAGAGGTTCACTACAGAGGGCAAACAGGGTTCTCCTTTTCACCTCTAACACTTGTAGTGGCGTGTGTAAGATTAAGGGAGTAAGCACTTAAAATCGGGAATCTATAAATAATCGTTTATGAAGCTAATCGTTAAAACTAGTAAATTAATGAAGAGTAAACCAAAAGTAAACCAAGTGAATTGAATTCATAGTGAATTCAATTTTATTAAACAAGCTTAGGTGGAAGCAAAAGTCCAAGAGATGGACTGCATCTCAGAATGCACCATGAAACCCTACATTAATAGCAACTTCCGCTGTTTTATTGCTGGTTTGTTTTTGCTGGCATCTGGGGGTCGTGTTAATTTTCAAGTGTTAAAAAGGGATCACATAGCTTTGGAAACACTGATCTAGTCATTACAGTCGATTTTGATATAACGTGATAGTTCTGTTCTCGTGCAATCTTGCGTTGTAAGAAAATTGTGTAATAGCCACGCTATTTAAACTAATGAGGCCGGAATCGTGCTATAGCCAATATAGGTAAGGAAAGTTTGCGTTCTACAAATAGTGGTCTAAATACTTCAACTGTGTTAAAACCAATACGAGTTGAAGAAACACACATAGAAGGAGAACCGACTGTATTTGCAATATGACTGTAGGTAAAAGTTGGGAAGCACTGAAAGAAATAATTCCTAATTCCCTTGAGGAATAAAACTCCACTGGAAATATGGTACATCTCTGGTTAAATAGCAATGTTAAAAGCAGGATTAGATTAAAATAAGAGGTTTGCTCTATTGTTGAAAAGAATAACAATCTTAGGATTGGGATTGTGAGTGTCTTTAGAAAGCAGGCAGCAAATAGACACAAAACTATTGCTGAGAGAGAGAAAACTGAATAAGACTAAACTAGCCAGAAATACCAGACCAGACTGGAAGAACGCTTATAAAATATAGTAAGAAAGTGATTAGGAAAAGTAAATGTGTGTCCCGCAGAGACAGAGCAGAGAGAAATTGCAATTAAGAATTAGGAAATGGCAGAGAGATTAAACTATATTTTGTGCCTGTCCTCACAGCAAAAGGCATACAGAATATATTGAAGATTGTGGATAAAATCGAAGGTTTAAGGAGAGTGAGCATTTTAAAGTAATTAATATTAGTCAAGAAAGCATTCTGGAGAGATTAATGAAGCTAAAAGACAACAAATTCACTGGGATCTGAAGGTTTAGACTTGAAGTGTTCAAAAGATGTAGCTGCAGTGAGAGTGGATGTACTGGTTTTGATCTTCTGGAATACCATGGAAATCCAGAATGGTCACCATGAACTGAAATGCAATCCCACTGATCAAAATAAGAAGAAAGATAACAGGGAGCTATAGGCCACTTAACCTGACATCCATGGTAGTGCGATTCTATTTAGGATGTGCTAACGTGGCACTAAAAATTACAACATGATTGGGTAGAGTTGTCATAGCTTTACACAGGTTAAATAAGGAAGGAATAAGTGGATGTGGTAGATTTGGATGTTCTTAAGATATTTGACAATTGCCAACACAAGAGACTGTTATCAAAGTTAGGGTTCATGGGCTGGGAGGTGTGGTTTAATTCGGAATTGGTAAAGTGTCAGGAACGGGACAATGGAATACAAGAGCCAACTACTGCAAATCTGAAATAAAATAAAGAAAATGACAGAAATGCTCAATAGATCAGGCAACACCGTGAAAACAGATCAGCAACCTATCATCACAGCTGGAGCATGAATATCAGGATCATTTTCCAAACTGGGGGTTGTAACTATTGTGATACCACATGAATTGGAGTTTTGACCTCCACAATTTACAATTTATCTCAATAACTTAGAAGTGGAGATAGAGTGCAATATATAAGTTTGCTGATGATGAAAGGCTTGTTGAGCAGATAGCAAGAACTGCAGATGCTGGAGTCAGAGTCAATACAGTGTGGAGCTGGAGGAATACAGCAAGTTAGGCAGCATCAGAGAAGTAGGAGAATCGACGTTTCGGGTCAGGGCCCTTCATCAGGACTCACTGACCCGAAACATCAACTCTCCTGCTCCTCTGATGCTGCCTGGCCTCCTGTGTTCCTCCAGCTCCACGCTGTATTGACTTGAAGCTGCATGATGGACACAGAGTTGTAAAGGACACAGACGAAGTGATTGGGCAAGAAGTTGGAAGATACAGTGTAATGTGAGGGGGTGGCGAAATAATCCACATTAGTAGGAAGAATGAAAAAGAAGAGTATTTTAAAGGTAAGATACCATTAAGTGCCAGTGTTCACAGCAATTTGGGGGTCCTTACAAATGGCTCGCAGAAAGTTAATATCTAGATCAGTAAGCAATTAGAAAGATAAATATTATGTTTACCTTTACTGAAAGGGGTTCAGAGCAAAACAAGAAGCAAATTGTGTTGTACTGGTACACAGCTTTGGTCTCCTTACCTAAGCAAGATGTTCTGGTCTAAGAGAGATTGCAAAAAGCAAGGAAGGGTATCTAGACCCAAAACGCTAACTCTGTTTTTTCCTTCACAGATGCTGCCAGACCTGCTGAGCTTTTCCAGCAACTTTGTTTTTGTTGCAAAATGTTTACTAGATTGAATCCTGAGATGTAAGCTGCATCCGTGAGAAGAGACTGATCAGAAGGAATTCATATTTTCTGCACTCTATTGGCAAGTCATTGCCCTGAAATGTTAACCCTGTTTTTCTCTCTCTCCACAGATCCTGTAACAGTACCCACTTAGTATCTTCAATATTTACTGTTTTATTTAACATTGCTTTACTCTGGACTTGAGAAGAATGAGAGCTGATATCATTGAAACTTGGAAAACAATTAAAGGACTCAACAGAGTAGATGCTGAACAACTGTGTCCTAAACTAGGGGGAATCTGCATCTAAAATTACAGTCTCAGGGTAAGAGGTTGGCTGTTTATGACTGAGATGGTAAGGATCTTTTCGCTCAGAAAATACTTGGAAATATTATCCAATATTATCTCTATCCTAAAAGAGGGTAGGTACTCCGGGCTGATAACAATAGATTTTTAGCAAACAAGGGAATCAAGGAGTACAGGACTGTACATCAGGAAGGTGGAGTTAATATCGATATTCATCCACGATCTTACTGAATAGTGAAGCTTGATGGACAATATGACCTACTCCTGCTCTTATTTCTAATATATTTAAACAAGCAGGTTGCAGGTTTCAGAGCAACAGCCCTAGCAGGGGAGGGGCAGGGGGCTCTGCTTTTAAGTACAATGTCTACACCCCATTGGAAAGCCACCGAGCTCACTTACCTGGGAGGGCATTCCCTTCCTGTGCAAAATTCATGTGTCGGCTCAGGCCTGGTAACCGCATCACAGTGAGACTCATCCACCTCCACTCCATCGTACCTGACACACATAGCATAAGAAGTGGTAATGCCTGTAGGGAGGGAGAGGATTACAGTTCACTAGACATTGTTTCGGCAGCCTTGTACCAGTTATACTAAGAACCTTGATTCTGATTCAAGTAGCAGCACACTTGCCTACAGGCCAGATGGGCGTCAGGCTCCATTCTGGAGATGTGAGCACCAAACCCAGACTGACGCTCTAATGCAATACTGAGGGAGCGCCGCACCAACGGCACTGCGTAACTACGTTCTGCTGCAGCCCGAGCTCCAGGTTTTGGAATCTGGGCACAGCTGGGATCCTTGCCGTGCATCCTGAGAGGCTGAATGCAGTGTGGAGAGCGCACATGTGGTCGCCCTGCAGTTTAGCAGTACGTGGGGAGAGAGGGAATGAATGAACACCTATAGGCAAAAAGGAACAGGCAGATTGTGCATGAGTCTCCTGAGCGCATCCCGCTCACAAACCAGCTCAGGTTCCTGATGGCTTGTCTAGGTGTGACAATGCTGTCACTTTAAGAGGTTATTTTGTCCTGGTTTTTAGGTTGAAGAGAGGTCATAAGGCAGAACTGACTACTAAAGACCACTTGAGTAAACAGCTTGGGGGGGGCCTTAGGTTTTTTTTTAATGCAACCAGAATGGGTGTGGCCAGCTCTCACAGACCAGGATTTCTGGGTAGCGTCAGAAGCTATCGGGGTCTCAACAGAGTTAGAAGTTTCAGTGAATGTCTCCTGGCTACTACTCTCTCTGAATTTTGTTTTGATTTTTTTTTTCTCCTGGATTGGAGGACGGTATATGAGAATCTGAGCCTGAATTGTCCTTTTTGTTTTGCCAAGAGGTGTGTTTATGGGATGTTACTCGATTGGAACAGTGAATTAGTAATTGTTACTGTATCTATTATTCTGTTAACTTTCTGAGAGAGTTAATTTATTATAAATTTCCCTTTCTTTGGTTGTAGGTTAATTACAGTGTTTAAATAAATTGTGTTTTGCTTAACATTGAGTAGTTTGACCAGTCGCTTTGCATCGGGAACAGACACTTTACATATGCCTTTAAAATAAGAAAAAGTTAGGGTCTAGGCTAGCTTCTTAAAATATTTTGAGGGGGTTTCTGGTCTGGTCCATAACATAGGGAGTGCAGCCAGACCTGACTCTACAGTACCACTACTGGCTCAGCTGTATGGGCCAGAGGTGGGGGAGAACACAGGGAAGACTGGAATATCAACGGTGACAACAGTTTGAGACTTGGTGGGGGGGGAAACAGATTGGTGTTTCTGGAGACACATATATGCCTCCAGGATGGTATGCTGCCTCCCTGATATTGTGGAAAAGGGGTGTTACTGAACAACTGCAGAGCACCTTGAAAGGTGGGGTGTTTGGTGTGGTTGCAGGGGATGGGAGCGGGGGTGGGGGGGGTTATGATGAAGAGGTGGTGAATGATCAGTGGCCCACATTGGAGCCTACGATGTGGAAAGATAAAAGACGTGGTAGTCCCGCAGTCAGATTTTAGGGAGCTTGATAAGAAATTAGCTAGCAGGGCCTGAAAAAGGATTAATCTTGAGATTACTGTCAGTGCCAGACACAGTTGTACACTGGAATAAGAGGATAAAGCAAATGAAATGCGTAGCTGGAAAGATGGTGCAGGAGGGAGAAATTTAGATCACTGGGACACTGAGACCAGTGTTTGGGGAGGTGGGACCTATACAGGTTAGGTAGACTGCACCTGGTCAGAACTGAGACTGAATTCCTTGTGGGGCATTTGGCTGGTGCTATTGGTAAGGGTTTGAACTAACTTGGCAAGAGATAGGTACCAAAAGATAATATCACAGAAGTACAGCGATGAGCACAAACCACTGAGAGAGACAGATAGCACAAGAATAAGGAAGAGTAATGTAATAGTAAGAGTGAGGGGGAAGGTAGAAAAGTCTAGATCAGAGTCACTGTACAGGTATGTCAATGCACCAAGTGTAATTAAAAAGAATGGGCCAGATTTTCCAAGGAATGGGAATCTCACAGATAGCCACTCCGTACCTTCACTTTTAAGGAAGGAGACAGTTCCGCATTTCCAAGAGAAGGTTCCGATCAGGAATCATTCAGAAACGCCCAGAGTTTGACTGCTGTCAAATGGTAAGCATATAAGGCAAGTGTGAGGTTAAGTTGCCAGCAGGGGAAAGGGGATAGGGTGCCAGCTAAGTAGGATCCCACCTGTGGTAAAGGGCAAGTTGTCGGAGGTATGTGCTAGGGTGGCAAGGAGACTAAGTAAGTGATGCACTGTTTAGGCAGGTCAGGGTGGGTGGAAGAAATCATGTCCGGTGGTGGCGGGGGGGGAAGGGGCAGTGTTGCCGTGTCTGATGGTTGGAAGGGGAGGAGGTACATTAGGACTGGAGTGGGGGAAAGGGGAGTTGGGACCAGGGACAGGGTCAGGGGGGATTGCATGCAGATCAGGTCTCAGGTGAGGAAAGGAATGGGTTGGGGATGGGGGTCAAGTCCAAAGCCAGGCAACATGGTGGAAGAGGGGCATGATCTGCATCAAGGTGTTCAGAAATGATGAGAAAGTGAGAAAGGGAAAGAGTGAAGACAGAACTGCTGGACAAGGAGGCTAGCTGACAGTAGTCAACAACATGATCAATTTGGCTAGAACTCCTTAACCAAAAAGGTACAATAACATTGTTCACTGAAGTCCGTGAGCCACCAACTAGCAGGAAGGACTTACTCAAAGAAACTTGCAAGAAAACTACAGAGATACAAAAAATAATAGGGGAGATACAATATGGGAATTTAATTTTCTGAATATAGACTGGGATTGTAGTAGTGTAAGGGTCAGTGAGAGGTAAGTCTCCTGAGTGTTTGTGGAGGAATTCTCTAATGTCAGTAGGAGATCATTTGGGGCAATGATCATGGCTCAATAAAGTGATTGAAAACAAAAAGGAACAATCCTGAGTAAAATGACTAACTGGAAGAAAGCCAATTTCAATGGGGTAAGAGTGGATATGGGCCGAACTAAATGGACACAAAGGTTGATTGGAAAGATGGTCATTGAACAATGGGCTACCTTTAATGAAGAGGCATTTGAAGCATCAGTCATGGTATATTTCCTCAAAAGGGAAAGGTGGGGCTTACAAAGCCACCTGTCTGTGGATGGCAAAAGAGATAGAAATTAAAATAAAGAATAAAAAGTTTGCTTATGAAAGATCCAGTGGGGAATATACTTGAGAGTTCTGCTGAATATGGAAGGTTCAGAGGGGAGATGAAAAGGAAAATAAGAGATGCAAAGGGGGAGAATGAGGAGAAACTGGCAGCTAACATAAAATGGAATCCCAAAGTTGTCTGCAGGTATAACAAATAGTAAAAAAAGTGCTAAGAGGAGGACTGGGACTGATCAGGGACAGAAATGAGCATTTCAGCATGGAAACAGAGAACATAGCTCAGCTATTAAATTAATGCTTTGTTTGTGTGTTTTTACCTAGGAACAAGATGCTGACCAAGTTCTGGTGAAAGAAGAAGTCACTCAGATGATGTAATTTAGGCACTAGAGGGGTTTAAAAATTGATTGGGGAAGATATTAGATAGGATGTGTATTCTCAGGTAGGTTAAGGTACTAGGACAGGATGGGATGCATCCTGGGATACTGAGGGAAATGAGAATGGAATGTGTAGAGACACGGATCATAATTCTTCAGTGTTCCTCAGATGCAGGAGTGGTGCTAAAGGGTTGTAAAATTGCAACCGTAACATCATTGCTCAAATAAAAGGTATAAAGATAAGCCTAAGCCCAGATACTACCTCTGGAAATATGCCAGGTAGGACAATTTGTGAACCTTGAGGATGCAAGCCTGCCACGGAGTCAGGAACTATTTGACAAAGTTTAAAAGCTTGCCTACTTCAAATATCATAACATAATAAGGCGTGATGATTAAAACAATATCTTCAATGCATGGACTGATCATAAATCTCTGCCTTTAAAATGTAAGTAACAACTGAATTAAGCAGCAAACGTTCATATGAATTCAGCTCTTTCTCCACTGGACAAAGTGCACTTATTCAATGAACATTGTCAGTAAGTTGATTTAAATGGGATTGGACTCTGTGTTTTGAATATTACAATGATTCAAAGTCCAGAGAGTGTTTCAGGATTTGACAACACCGCTGAACAGTTGCCAGTCCTCTCTAACTGAAACGCCATTCAGCTTTTGAGAGAAAAAAAGGAGCAAATGGGTTTGCACCTAGTCAGGGAACTTCAGAGTCATTTGTATTGAGATGTGTAGGGTCTGCTTTTTCATTGACGTAATGTAATTCCATTATGAATAACTGCCTGAACTCCAAACCCCAAATCAGCCCAACAGAAGTTGTTTACACAACCGTGCGAGGACTGCATGCTTTGTTAGACAAAATCTTTATGAGCAGATAATAGGATTAAATACTATGAAGAAGTCTTTGAATGGTTGTTTGTTAATTTTAACAGAATAATGTGCCCTTGAGACAAGAAAGCTTTTCTCAATACAGATGTGTTTGACTGACAGTTTTATAAGCTTCTAATCAGGAATATTTTTCCAAGAGGATTTTGAATGGCTTTATTTGAAATTATTTCAGAGACTTCCAGTGTTAATACATGGCACATGAGTTCTGTGTATATTGGGTGAGTGGGTCTGGAGAATGCATAGGAGGTATGTAAAGGGCATGGGGGATGGTGAGAGTGGGTGAGGAGGTGATGGAGGGTAAAGAGATCGAGGGCAAGTTAGGGTGGTGTCTAGAGGGCATAATAGCAAGGCAAAGAACTGGCCAGATCTCCCAATGAATAGAGGTGGCCCAAACCTGCATTGGAAGAGAGTAGCCAACTCTCAAAACCAAAATTTCAAGTGAATGGGATGACTTTCCAAATGCACTGTGGAAATATCTCAACTCGCGCTTCCCAGATTGAAGTAGAAAACCCAATCCCTGACATCCAATAATAAATTGGAACTGAATCAAAGCAGGAAGGGGGACTAGCTGATCTGAGTCTCGTTGGCCATTGTGGACTCTGTTAGCCAAGGCAAACCACAGTGAATCAGACCAGTGCTGGGTTATATGTAATCTGGGCTCTGTGCACTAGAGGGCTCCACCTTTCAGTCCACAGAGATGACACAGCTTGTCTGCCATTTGAGCTGCTCCTGCAACCAACCAACATCTACTTCCTTCCAGTTTAGATTAGCCCAAAATAAAAAGGCTGTTCAGAAATGTGGCCAATCACAGGATAAATGCAACTACTGCACATAGATGCAACAGCCCTGAAACAGACTGTTCAGTCAAACTGGTCAGTGCTATGTTAATGTCCCATGATCCCTGTCCCACCTTACTTCATCTCACCTTATCAGCGTAATCTTCTGTTCCTTTCGCTCTTATCCCGCTTACCCTTAAAAGGCATCTTACTATTCTATGTGGTAACGGCTCCCATGTTCTCACGAACACACAGGAATTCCATTCTCACTGTCCTCCCCTTCCTGTCTTTCCCAACCCTTACTCAAACTTCAGAAGGACGCTGTAGCTAACACTTCAGGGCAATACTAGGGGAGCACACCATTGCTGGAGGTGCTGCCTTTCAGACAGATGTGAAAAACCCCATGCCACTGTTTGAAGATCAGGTGAGGTCACCCTGGTGTTATGGCAATCCAACCCTGCAATTAATATCACTGAAACAGACTACTGGGTCATTATCTCAAAACCATAACCATTTCCACAAATAACCATAACGACTGCCACATTTCACAAGTGATTACACTTCAAAGGAAATTGTTTCACTGTCAAGCACTTTGGGAAAACACAGATGCCGTAAAATCTGTGGGATAAATGCAAAATCCTTGGAGTTTAGTGTTATGGCATTAAATGTACAAGTCATTGAGCTGAGGACAAATGTGCAATTCTAAACAACATACTCAATATCCTTCTGCACCCTCCATATTGCACAGTTGTGTACAGCGTATTAGTGACTGTGAACAATCATTACGCAAGGAACTAAGGCAGCACTTTTAACATCCTTTTACAAGTTTAACGTGGCATAGATGCCAGTGGGCATGACTCAGGGGAAGATGTTCCTGATGGATCATTGTGAAACAAGCAGAACCTGTAGTATTCTGGAAGTTTGGCAACTGGATGAACAGAAGTTCCAAAAGAAAGAAATTTCTGGTCTCTCCCCAGCAGAAAATATGAAAGTGAGAGACACAGGCCTGCTGTCACTTTGATAGAGCCTAAGTTGTGACATTTCGAACAAAAGTGTTGACTATGTCTTAAGCAACCCCTCCACCATATGTCAAACACCACCCCTCACCCACACCCCTGCCCTCCCACCAACTGGTTAAAAGATTAACGGCCCTGTACTTGGAGAAGTGAAGGGCTGTAGGGTTCCCAAAGGCACCTGTGGTACATGTGGAACTGCAGGGTGCGTACGCTGATACCTTCCATCTGTACATGTCAGCCAGACTGATATCGTGATCAATATCTCCATCCTCAAACTCATTGCTGCAACAGAAAGAAAACACAAGATGAGGGGTAAAGAAAGCAATGGAGAAAATGGGATGCTTCAGGCATCCTAGGGAGAGAGTTTAATTCGTTAACGGCCTGACTTAGGGAGTATGTGGCATCTTCAGCCCTAATCTACAATTCAATCACTCGCTTGTCCTCGAACCCATTTACTCCATGCCATTTAATTTCAGCATAGCCCCATGCTCCAGGCACTGCAGCAACCCCAGACACTGTCTACCCCAGACACTGCTCCATCCAAAACTGCACAGCCCAGGTATCGCCCTTCTCCACACACCGCTCCAACTGAAACACATGCGACCTCAGATACCACCCACACCCAGGCAACGCCTCACTAGACACTGCTCAGTCCACGACCCCTCCAGAGACACTGGCCCCACCAAAACATACCCAACGATACACACCAGCCCCTCCCCTAATATCACCGCACCAAAAAGTACCCTGCCCCAGAATCCACCCTGCTCAAATCTGGTACGATCCCACAACGGGCACTACTCCATTCCAGACCCTGCCCAGACCGTAGGTATCGCTGGGCATCAGACACTACACATCAGATACTGAGTTTTTTTTTGTGATTCGGAGGGCCTCTTTATTGCAGATGCACCTTCATAGTTAAGGCCACACCCGCTATTATTAAGCATCTAGCAGAGAAGGGAATGTTTTTATTCAGATTATAAACAAGGCAGTTGCTGGCCGATGCTGATTGTTAGCTAATATTTATCATTGCACAGAACCATGAATTCTTAAACATCAAGGAGGTGAAATTCTCCTTGGGACTCAGGATAAAACAAAAGATCATGAACCAGCTGCTTGTTTTGGAGGAGAATTTTGCACTACCAAGTGTTCGGTTGTATACGTTGTACATACATACTAAGAGACAAAACTGCTCTCCACTGCTTCGTCCACCCCACACCTCAGTCTTTACCTCTCCCAGAGATGCTGATTTATTTCGGGGGTTCAATTCAATGGACGTTGGCCATGCTCCAGAATCTCAAGCTCGGCACAGTGGTCAACTGCCCAACATGAATCCAGCAGACTATCAGACCAGGGTAGGGAGAGGTCTCAGAGAACAGTCCAATCCCGTCCCCGTTACACTATTCATCAAGGGTCTATCAATGGAGCCAGTTAGGGGTAGGGATGACTTCCGGAGTAAGACAACAACGTGGCCACATTCAGAAAAAGATGGCAAAGATCATAATGAGTCATTTGACCCATTGCGCCCACCAGCTCCTTCTTAGAGCGAGCCCCTCATCACAGCTTTTTCACTACAGCCCTGCAAATATTTCCTCTTCAAGAACAGTTCCAATTCCCTTCCTTTTATCATCCTTTCAGCAAACACCTTTAACCTTAACAATGAAAAACATTTCAAGCTGCCTCCCAACAGCACCGACAAACAATGGATTACATAAGAAAATACTAGGGTGAGTGATGAAAAGTTTGGTCAAAGACATAGGTTTTCTTACTGCTCGGAAAAGAGATTAGCTGTCAAAACATTTCATCTCGCCTTCATCAGGACACAATCACAAGAATACCAAATCTCCAATTCTTGCGATTCTGTCCTGATGAGTGCAAGGGGAAAGCTTCAATAGCATGCCTCGCCTTGTCAGTAATATTCAAGTCCCGTATATACCAAGCGATTACACCAGTTTTGTGGAGCCCCTGGAAGGAAGAGATGTAGGGTAGCATAGAGATTTACTGAGTGCATTTCGCAGTTTAGGGCTGAAGGCCTAACAGCCAATATGGAGGCCAAAAAAAACTGGAGGAACAACAGGTCAAATCTGGGGAATGCAGATCCATCAAATGGTTGTGGACTAGAAGAGGTTACAAAAGCAGGAAGGGTTAAGGGCACAAAGCATTTTGAGCACGTACATGAGAATTTTAAAATCAGTGGCACTTCAATTCACTATATAACAAACATTCAGATATACCAACACCACCAGTTCTTTTGGCAATTGCCTTAAATCCTCTGGTTATCATCTTCATTCCCAATGGAAACATATTCTCCCTAGCTACCTACCAACATTTTGACCATCTCTATTAAAGTTCCCTTTAATCTTCTCTGTTCTATGGAGAACAATCCCAGTTGCCCAGTCTCACCACATAACTACCGAGGTACTATCTCGCATACCCCTCTGAACAATTTGCAAGACCTTCTTTTAGAAAGGGACTTTGCTGCATGAAAAAAAACTGACTCACATGAACAAGAAGCTGTGACAAGTTTGTCACCAAAATCACCAATCTGTTCAAGACACCCTTATGTGCCTTTCTGCTACTTAAAATGGAGTGTAACATCGTTGATTCTGAGACCGGATGTCCTGAATAGGAAACTATAAATGGTATCATTTGAGCTGGCTATGATATATTGGGGAATGTTACTCAAAGGCATGACAGTGGATAGGCAATAGCAAACATTTAAACAGCACATGGTCGAAATGCAACAATTGTCCGTTCCAGTCTGGCGCAAAAACATAATGGGAAAGGAGACCAGACCATGACCAGCAAGGGAAATTAGATATTAGATCCAAGGAAGGGACAGATAAATTGGACAAAAAAAGCAGCAGAGCTGAGGATTTGGAGTACTTTAGATTTTGGCAAGGGAGGACAAAGGAATTGAATAAAGGGGTTGGAAGTAGAGTGTGAGAGTAAGCTTGTGTAGAACACACAAACTGATTGTGAAGGTTTCTGCAGGTATATGAAAAGGATTATTGAAGACAAAAGTAGGTCCCTAACAGTCAGAAACAGGGCAAGTTATAGTCGGGTACAAAGAGAAACCCAACTTTATAGGTTTCTGTGAAGGTCCCCCTCATTCTTCTAAACTCCACTACAGTCCTAATCGATCCAGTCTCTCCTCATACGTCAGCCCTGCCATCCCAGGAATCAGTCTCCTCAACCAATTAAAACCAATTAAACACATATGTTGGTTCTGTCTTTATAAAGGTGGACACAAACCATGTCCCAAAAATGTTTGGGAACACAGGATCTATTTGAAAGAGAGCAATTGAAGGAAATCAGTATTAGTAGGGAAATGGTATTGGGGAATTTGATAGGATTAGAGGCCAATAAATCCCCAGGGCCTGATAATTTACATCCCAGTGTATTTAAGGATGTGTCCTAGAGATAGTGGATGCATTAGTGGCTATCTTTCAAGGTTCTATAGACTCTGGAACAGTTTCTTTAGATTGGAGGATAGCTAATGCAGGACCGTTTAAAGTGAGCATGCAGGTGAAGAATGTAAATGACATGGCAAGAGGATTCAAGTACAGGAGCAGAGATGTCTTGCTGCAAATGTATGGGGCCTTGGTGAGACCAAATCTGGCAGTTTTAGTCTCCTTATCTGAGGAAGGGCGTTCTAGCTATGGAGGGATTAATAACAAAGGTTGAGGAGACTGATTCCTGGGATGGTAAGGCTGACATATGAAAAGAGACTGGATCGATTAGGACTATAGTGTTTAGAGTTTAGAGGAATGAGAGGGACCTTCACAGAAACCTATAAAATTCTAACAGGACTAGTCAGGGTAACCACAGGAAGAATGTTCCCAATGAATGGGGAGATCAGAACCAGGGCTCACAGTTTAAGGGTTAAGCCATTTTAGAATTGAGAATGAGGAGAAATTTCTTCACCCAGAGCATGGTGAGCCTATGGAGTTCTCTGCCACAGAAAGCAGTTAAGGCCAAAGTATTGAATGTTTTCAAGGAGTTAGATATAGTTCTAAAGGGATCAAAGGGCTTGGGGAGAAAGCAGGAGCAAGGTACTGACTTAGATATCAGCCATGATTATAGGGCCAAATGGCCTACTTCTGGTCCTATTTTCTGTGTTTTATAGTTTTGATATTTTTGGTAGATGAAGATTTAACCCTCTCTCGGCAGCCAGATTGTCGTAGATCCCACAGTTCACGGGCAAATGTTCAAATAATGAATGACAAATGGCAGGGAGCAGATATATTCAATTATTATTCATTATTCAATCCCACTTCAGCACTTCAAAAATAACGGCTAATATTCTATACTGGTCTCTGTATTTCAAACAGCCTCAAGCACCAAAATTTTCTAAATCAGTTTGCTGATACTACAGTTAGTGGCTTATTTTTTTTTAGAAAAAGGAATGTTAGTTCCTCAAATCCAAAACTGAATGCAAAGTTTCAAAACAAAACATCTATTGATCTCATTAAAAAAAAAACGCTTATAGGGGTGCTCGGTGAATTTTGTATGATAAGCCCATTGCCATGGTAACACATTGCTCTAGTATTTTCCCAGATGACCACTCTGGCCCCTTGTTGGTATTTTCCACTTCTGCCAGTATGTGGTACTTGGTAATGGCTGTTTAATGTAGTTTGCAGCCACCAATTCTCCTTTGTCTTTACTTTGTCTTGTGATTTGTGATAGAGGACACACCTCAGTACAGTAATCTACAAAAGAGGTACCACGCTTAGATCACAAGGTTTATTGCATGTTAGCAATAAATAAAACCTTAGCAAGCTGATCCAGATACATGTGCTCCCTCCAAAAGTAAGATTAGAAGTCTTATATGGTACAATGGGTGGAGCTAATGTAATATGAACATTAACCCCTTCAGAGCCATTATTTCACAGAATAATCGATATTTGGTTAGTAATGTCCAGCCATCTCTCATTGGTCAGGAAGGTCACCAGCTACCACTGACTACCAATGCAGCTAACTGAGACAAAGAAGAGGAATGACTGCTTGAAAAGTGGCATAGCAAGGACTGACCACTCAGGGTGGAAGAGTAAGAAGGCGAGGTTATTTGGTGATTGAGACTGGAAAGAGGAGCGATCACTCGTCAATTAGACAGGAAGATTAACCAACCATTGTGAGACAGTGAGTAGGATTGTCCAATCATAATGAGAGAGAAAGAACGATGATCAGTCATAGTGAGACAGTGAGTAAGATTAACCAATCATAATGAGACAGTGAGTTAGATTAACCAATCATAATGAGGCAATAAGAAAGATTAACCAATC